AGACCAAACATGTGAGCAATGACAAAGTTTTAGACAAAATGGAAACAAATAGAATACTTACACTTAATATCAGAAAGAGATAGTTGAAATTTCTAAGGCACAATGAGGGAAAAGGGCTTGGATTTTATTAAGGCTCTCTAAATATATAGCAGAAGCACCAGACCATTCATGGCAGCAATATTCAAAGCAAGGATGAATGGTAGAATTATAAATTTATAGTGAGAAGGCAAGTTTCTTGTTTCTTTGAAGAATTTGTTAAAAGACATTCTTTTATATTTTTCTATCTTGTTAGTGAAGGAAAGTGAGAAGAAAGCACTAAGCATAAGTTGCAAGAAGATAGAATGTATGATTGTTAGCATGAGGAACAGCCCACCATCAAATTACAAATTGGAGATACTAAAATCAAACAAGTACAACAATTTAAATATCTGGGAAGAGTTTTAACAGATGATGTAAAGTGCAACATTGAAATCCAAAGTCATATTGCAATAGCAAAATATGCCTTGCAAAAACTAAGCAAAGTATTAAGAAATTGAAAAATTTCATGAGATACAAAGAAAAGAGTACTGAACTATTTTGTAATATCCTTCCTCTTATATGGCAGTGAATGCTGAACAATCTGCTCATAGTTGAAGAGGAAACTGGAAGCAACCAAAATTTGGTTCTACAGAATGGCGCCAAGAATACTGTGGATGGAACACATGAGCAATGAAGAAGTCTAAAAGAAAATGGAAATATTGTAATAAATATGGTGACAAAGATGAAGACAATAGTCCAAATATTGTAAATAGTGTACATAATACCTCATCTCAGTAATATAGACAAAAGGATACTTCTACTTAACATCAGGGAGAGATAGTTGAAATTTCTAGGGCACATAATGAGGAAAGATAGTTTGGAAAATTTGATACTCACAGGATATATTGAAGGCAAGAAGAACAGAGGAAAAGCAGTGCATAGCCCACCTATTGAGCTTGTGTAAATGGATGGCAGAATAGGGTTTAAGGGAAATAATGAAAAGACAAAATTTATTAAGAGCTACAAATGATAGGAAATTGTGGAGAGCCATGATTGCCGATGTACTGAAAGTGAAATGGCATGTTGGAAAAGAAGAAATCTTTTATTGATGCTCAACAGGTTTTGAACTGCATTTTCCAGAAAGCCAGATTACCAATCAAATGTTAATATAAAAATGAATAATGTTGGTTTTGAGGGCAAATGAGGATTCTCCTGATACTAAAGAGAGATCTAGAGACGAGCAAATTGTAATAATTTCTTTGATAGATTGAAATCAATACAGATTGGATTTGAATTAACGGAAAGAGAAGGAAATAATGAAAGCCTGAGATTTCTGTATCTACTGTATAATAGCAACCAACTTCTTTCTATCATAAGTGCCAACCAGTGATTGTTTTTTTTATATTTTTCCTTAACGATCTTTTCTTTTTAAATTTTTTTGTAATAGAAAATAAATTATATAAAATGAAAGATATATTGAAAGTGAAAGAAAGAGAAATAAGATATGAAAAGGGGTAAAATGTTGAGAAAATTTTATTTTATTCTAAATTTTAAAAAAAAATGAAAAACAATGGATTTTAATTTTTTTTAATAATTTCACCCCAAGCAAGGCAATAAAGACACTAAGATACAGTGGGTTACTGAGTGCTAGAGAATGAAAAAAAAAAAACACTTAAATGGAAATTAAGAAGATAATGATTGAAATTGCATTTAAATTGTTGAAGATCAAAGTTGACTAGAAAGCAAGAAATGGGAAAAAAAAATGATAAAATGTTAGCATAGAACTTACAATTCCATCTAGCAATTTCAATTGTAAAATGATGAGAACTTGCCGCCAATCTAGTACTGCCCTTAAATTCATAAAGTCATAGTAGCATAGAGGAAAGTTAATCTAAACAATGACCATGAAAGTATTTATAGAAAAGGCACAGTGAAGCTACATTATGACAGAGGGAAAGTGACTGAAGTTGAGATTCCAGATCAGGACCAATAACATTGCAGATCCTTCTTTGGATTTTTATCAAGAATTATATAGCAGGAGCACCAGACCATATGTTGTAATATAATTATCTTTATATTTATATATATATTACAGATGATGTAGCTCTTGTATTCAACACTCTTGAACAAGCCCATGTTAAAATGTAGTGCAGCATAAGTCGGAGTCCACATAAATTAAATCAGAATTCAAGTCTTTTACTTAAGCAGTAAAAAATTTTGTAATGCTCAATGATAACAATGGATAAAATTTTTATATCTGTGATCATGGCTGAACTCTTCACAAAAAGCCATAAATGTTAGATTTACAATGGTATGGACATTGCTACCAAAAATAAACACCATCTGGAAGTTGGCAATTTAAAGAAAGCCTGAAAGTGCAATTATTGACCAAAAAAAAAAAAAAAGGAACTCGATTGTATATACATGTGAGTGTTGAAGGCAGTGGCATGCAGAGGTTTCGCAATGCCTGAGGCCAATTCCTTGACTCAAGTAAAGGGCCCTCTCGGTCCTACTACTGAGAAATATGAGAAAGGAAGACATTTTAAATATATAAAAACAGATGAAACAGGAAACAAACACTTTATTCAAATTAAATTTCAAATTTCAAAAACTAAATTTTTACTTCATTCTTTGATTGGATGCCCTCTCAATATCAATGCTCAGGACAATTGCACTGTGGAGTAATGGATAGTGGCTCGGACTGAAAAATCTGAGAGCCGAGTTTGAATTCCAGTCGAATCCAATACATTCACTTATGTGCTAATACGCTTGGAAAGATGAGTGACTATTACTAGAGAAAAAAAACATTAAGTTGTATACAAAACTTGAAGAAACACATCTATTTCTTCTCGGAAGCAGACAAAAGTAATGACTGATTGTTTTTTTTATGGCTTATCAGCTCTTTGTGGTTTATTTAATATTAAAACATATTTTAGATTGTAGGAGGTTGCTTACAGTCTTCAGTGTTACAAGTGGTCAGTCATCTAAGTACTGACTGGCTTGAACACTGTTTAAAGCTTCTTGGCCTTGCCGAGATCAATGTTTAGTACCTGTTCTACTCATTTCTCAGGTAGGAGCTGCCTGATCCCAGGGATTCCAGCCCTGCAGGAGCACCTCCCTCATTGTACTGGGGAAGGTGGGGTGTCAACACCAGTACAACAGCAGCCATGAGGACAGTGCAATTTGGGATTGGCCAAAAAATGAATTTGTTGTGTGATAAAAAGAAATAACTCCAGAGATATATCATGTTAGTAGCATTAATTTTACTAAAATAACAGAAAGCATTTTTTAAAATATGCATGTGTTTGTGTATGTGCATATATATGTGTGTGAATTATATATGCACACATAAATGGGCTGTAAAATGTGGTAACAAAAAAAATTCTCTTTCCCTGACAATTATTCTTTCTGTGAAAGCATTTTTCGTGTCATTGTGGGGGAACAAATTCTTTTCTATTCTACAATCTCAACTTTCTATGGAAATAGTGATAGAGCAGTAGGACTGTTCTATTGCTGTTTCCATAGAAACTTACAGTCCTTAGTTTCACCAGTTCCAGCCTTCAGTGCTAAGACCCACCATACTATGCACATTGTAGTGAACCACCCTCATTCCCTTCATATTGGTGAGATGTAAGTTCTACTCAAGCAGCTTCTTCCCATAAACCACTGCTTTGTGGAACTGACTCCCAAGAGGATGCTTCCCTGGTCACTACACTCTTAACCTGTTCAAGTCTAGGGTCAACTGTTATCTTACCCACATATTCTCATAAACTATACCTTTTAGTCCTAATGCCTCTATCTCAAGTGGCTCTTGGGCCTTGTACAGGGTGAACATCATTGTAAAAAAAAAAAAGTTAATTGTAATTATTTCCACTATGATCATTGTTAACCTTGATTTCATTCTTTTTCTTTTAATCAATTCACCCCAAGCAAGGCAATAAGGCCACTAAGACGCAAGGGGCTACTAGAAGTGAACGAGAAGGAAAAGGCTTTAGAAGGGACCACACATTAAGTAAAGGTATAAATTTCAGAGTTTAGGCAGAGACCTTAGAAGTATAGAGTGGAAGTAGAATTTAGAAGGAACAAGAAACCCAACCCTAAACAGGAAACAAGGGATAAACCTCTACTCCTGTTCAAAGGAAAGAGTGTGAACTGGACAAGTGGTGAACCTATTTCCTCCTATTGTTACTTAATCACTAATAAAATGTTTGTGGCCTGTAATACAAAGTTTGAACTGACAATCAATATTTTCTGCCATTATATATAATAACATCTATACTGCATTATTTTCATGCATAGAATATTTTCTCCTCTCCATTTCCTCTGGACCCCACAGTGTGCACGTAAGTTGGCATTTCTGCAACATTTCCCAATTGATATATTCTATATCTAGTCTGAAAGTAGACAGTTTCAAGATTTCAGAACTGGTCTAACTTTGTTCTAGCACACCGGGTAGTTGTCAAGATTTGATCATTTGAAGCTAATCAAAACTTGCACTTGTTTTATCATTTAAATTTAGATGATCAGTTCTGGAATAGTTGCATTTTCTGCTTCTTCTTGTTAGGAAAATCATTGGAATCTTGTTTATATGAATGTTATAAGTGATAGCCACGTTTAACTTGACACACTTTAAAAAAAAAAAAATGAAAGTAAATTATTCTTAGGAAAATACTTAACCTTTAACACTCTGTAAGTGACTATTGAGCAAGCAAAATGTTTATCCTGCCAATGCAATTTGAATTTCTTGGTTGTGTAGTCATATCCTTCTATGGCAACATCTAAAACAATCTTGATGGAAATTGAGAGCCAGGCTACTGCAATTTCAAATACATAGAACTAATATATAAAAGACTATATTTTGAGGGGACACTGCTTACAGAAAAGGGGAAAATAAAAATTTATAAATGATGCAGAGTGCTAAATACTAATGTACTTTGGTCATTATTTGTTTTTGGTACCATATGCCAGGCACCAAATATCAGTTTGCATTATAATTTTCTATCTATCTATTTGTCTATCTATCTCAGTCTGTTCATTATCTATCTATCTATCTATCTATCTCAGTCTGTTCATTATCTATCTATCTATCTATCTCAGTCTGTTCATTATCTATCATCTATCTATCTATCTCAGTCTCAGTCTGTTCATCTATCTATCTATCTCAGTCTGTTCATTATCTATCTATCTATCTATCTCAGTCTGTTCATTATCTATCTATCTATCTATCTCATCTATTCATTATCTATCTATCTCATTCTGTTATCTATCTATCTATCTATCTCATTCTGTTATTATCTATCTATCTATCTATCTCATTCTGTTATTATCTATCTATCTATCTATCTCAGTCTGTTCATTATCTATCTATCTCTATCTCAGTCTGTTATTATCTATCTATCTATCATCTCAGTCTGTTATCTATCTATCTATCTCAGTCTGTTATTATCTATCTATCTATCTATCTCAGTCTGTTCATTATCTATCTATCTATCTATCTCAGTCTGTTCATTATTCTATCTATCTATCAGTCTGTTCATTATCTATCTCTATCTATCTCAGTCTGTTCATTATCTATCTATCTATCTATCAGTCTGTTCATTATCTATCTATTATCTATCTCAGTCTGTTCATTATCTATCTATTATCTATCTCAGTCTTTCATTATTCTATCTTTCAAAGTCTGTTCAAAATCTATTGATCTTTCTATCTCAGTCTGTTCATTATCTATCTATCTATCTATTGGTCTGTTCATCTATTATCTATCTATTATCTATCTCAGTCTGTTCATTATCTATCTATCTATCTATCTATCTATCAGTCTGTTCATTAACTATTGCTGTCTATCTATTAGTCTGTTCATTTGCCTATCTATCTCAGTCTGTTGGCTAATCTATCTATCTCAGTCTGTTCAGATTGTCTATTTCTAGTCTGTTCAATCTATCTATCTAAAAAATTCATTATGCATCTATCTATCTCAGGTTAAATAATTTCTATCTATCTCAGATAAGTATTAGTCTAATTAAACTATCTATCTATGAAAGTCTTTCATTATTATTAAATCTCAGTCTGTTCTCAAACTTTCAGTCTGTTCATTATAATATATATATCTATCTATATAGTTTTAAGGTGTTCATATATTTATGGGATCTAAATCTATCTATCTATCATTCTGTTATCTATCTATCTATCTCAGTCTGTTAATATCTATCTATCAACACTCAGAGGCAATTATCTATCTTCATCTATCTATATCTATCATCACAGTCTGTTCATTTTCATATATATATATATATATATATGCATCTATACACATATACATACATCAAAGAAAAAAAAAATTTGGGTTTACATCTCGAAAGAACTAATAATAAATTTATTTCATAAAATAAGTTTTTAATAACTGCCTCATCTTTTACCAGGATTACAAAATGGTTTTTTATTTATGCAGATATTATGTTAAAAAATATTTCAAAATAAAACTTGGATTACCCTTTCCACTTAGATAATAAAAAAATCTAAATTAGGCTAATGGTGGTAATCAGGCTGGCAGTTGTAAATTTTAGGTAACCCCTGTCTAAAAAATTGGAGTCAATGCACAATGGAGGGATAATTTCAGACCTAGATAAGTATGGAGTTAATTAAACTAAAGGTATGAATTAAAAAAATCCAACGTGTTCTCAAACTTTTATTATTAGATATAATATATATATATGAAGAAATATAGTTTTAAGGTGTGATATATTTATGGGATAAAGTGTTGTCCAAATTACAGACATAAATATTAAAAAACATAAGTCAACTCATATTAAACCGGATGATTATATTTACGAAAATCTTTTCATTCTTCCGTATATTTGCCCAATACATACATCAAAGAAAAAACATAATAATTTTAAAGTCCAATAATAAATTTATTTATATAAAATAAGTTTTTTAATAACTGCTCAGACCAGGATTACAAAATGGTTTAAATTTATGCAGATATTATGTTAAAAAAAATATTTCAAAAATAAAACTTGGATTACCCTTTCCACTTATGGATTTGGTATTATATATATATATATATATATATATATATAATAAAAGAAAATAAAAAAGTATTAGGTCAGATCAGAGTCAGCCCAATGGAGGGATATTTGAAGAGCGTGCTCAATACACAATTAAAAAAAATTGAACGTGTTCAGCTGATTATTGTGAGATATATGTACAGAAACAAGTTGTTGAATGAATGGTCTGAAGTGTTGTCCAAATTACAGACATGTTAATAAACATATTCTGACTCCATATTAACCCGGATGATTATATTTACGAAAATCTTTTTCTTCTTCCGGTTCTTTGCCCACTTTCCTCACCCACCCAGCTTTTGATAATTTTACTTTATGGTGCCAAGTTATATAAGTGGGCTTGAATAGTGCTAGTCATTAATAATTTACCAGTAACCACCTGATGCGACTGTAAGGTTAAAACCCGGGTAGTGTTGAGAGTGAACTTTTACAATTTTTTTTTTTATATATAATAAATATAATTTTTTTTCTTCACTGATAGCACAACTCTAATTTCATTCTCAACACAATATCAAGTGCTGCTTGAAAACATATATATATATATTTATATATATATATATATATATATATATATATATATATATATATATATATATATATATATATATATATATATATATATATATATATATATATAAAACACTGGATGTGTAGTGTTATATTAAAATATCAATGAACAGTTCAAATTTTGACTATGTTTCCTTTCTTATTAATGTACTTGGGAAGGCATGGATCTGTGTGTGCCAAAGAATTTATAGATATCTTGACAATGTCTTATCATTGGCATGCCACAAATCTTTGAGGGAACTAAATTTGACAGAATCAACATTTTGACCAACTATTCTTATTGCACCTACCTTATATATGTTTGCAACAGTAAAAAAAAAAATCTCTTACTTGTATTGTCAACCTTGTCTCACCATACATACAGATATGCATTGTGGGTACAAATGCCAATCTATTACTTTCCATATATATATATATATATATATATTTTTTTTTTTCCTGTTTGCTCATTATACAAGTTTATGCACTATGTATAAATGTACCATGTCATAAAATAAGTACACTATTTATTTTTTTTTACTGTGTATGTGTACAAATTGCATATACACAAAAATTATACATTGATTTATTTGAAATGTTCTCATCTTGATTGATATATTCATTATAACTTAGTCATGGCACACCCTAATTTTTTTTTTCAGGTGTCAGATGGCAATGTTCTCAGAATTTCAAACTAAACACTTTATTCAATCAGTAGTTGAAGAAACTTCATATTATTTGAAGATACTTCATACTACAAGAAGAAATTCATCATGCATCATATTGCTAGGGGGTACTTCATTTTGCTAGGAGGTACAAAATATTTTCATATTGTTAAGAGATACTTCATAGGAGATCATATTGCTATCAGATACCTCATTTTGTTTTGTATTACTATGGGGTACTTCATTTTGCTAGATATTTCATACTGCATCACACTTCAAGGAGATACTTTATATTGTTAGATGAGTTACTTCATATTGCTTCATAATGCAATTCTTAAACAACATTTATATAAACTGGGAGTTAGGAAATGTCCCCTAACATAGACAGCATGGATTAAATGAATTATTCATTTTGGGAATTTAAAGAATGGCACATGTAAAAGGTTCAAAGGCCAGAGGGTATTATGATGAAAACCTTGTGACTATAAAAAAACAAGATGAGGAAAACAGTTTGAATATAGCAGTTTATAATAATAATTCCTTATCTCGGAAATCCAGAGAGAAACTTAAAGGCTCATCTTTTGTCATGAATTCAAACCTTTAAAGTTAATAGAAAGATGAGGACACTCGTCCAAATAGATTGATGTATAATAATGATAATTCCTCATCTCAGAAACTCAGACAGAATTTTTATTTAAAATGAGTACCAAATTGTTTATTAACCAGTAAACATTTTTATGTCTTTGTACATTGTATTTTAAGATATCTTCCTCTAAAGATATTGATTGTCTCAGCGGATGACATAATGTGGCCTTAAAAGTAATATAGATTTGTTTTTCAGAAGAAAATATCAAGATTATGGTTATATAATTCTCTGTATATATGTTGGAAGTGCAATGTATGAAAGAAAGAACATGCAAAATTATGCAGTTATTTTATTGTGTGATTGAAATCAGTATGCAATCATATATATATATATATATATATATATATATATATATATATATATATACAATTATATATTGCACATATAGTGCTGGTGTTAATAAAACAGTGCTTGATGTAATACAACAGAACTATTAAGTATATATTAATAAATATACAAAACATGTATATTTATTAATATATATATATATATATATATATATATATAATTAAAATGAAAGATGGTCCATGTGTGCATCTTATAATATGTAGATTTAATAGGCCGGTTAATGAAACTTGAGGAATAAAAAGCCAAAAAATGATAACAATATTAGCAATAATATTGATGATTTTTATTATATATTTGCTTTTTGGCTAAATTGAAGCACAAATACAAAGATTTTAAAGTCAGAATTTTCTAATACGCCTGTTTTTCAATGATACGCAGACTAAACAAAGAAGTTGGACTTACTCTTCCGACAAATGTTGTTGTCAGTAAGTGGTCTTCCTGTGGAAATTATACACTCTGAGTAAATCCAAATCCCTTTTAATCCCTCAATATGCGATTTTATTTTAAAAAATATATGTTAACTCCGACCTGCATCTTTTTTGTCAACTCTTAAATGAAGACCCTAAAAGCACACGTCTAATGTCATCAATGCTATGAAACAGTTGGTTGATTTTTATGGCTATTGAAACAAAGATGAAATTCTGTGCCTGTTTCGCAAACATAATTTCCTTTTTGCATATGTAGCAGAAAAGTAAATATATAAGTTCAATAAATAAGTTAAATATTCACTTGAAGTCCCATTTTTTTGTTTATTCCTCATGTCATTGAAAAACAACAGGTGTGTCCAAAAATTTCAACTTTAAAATCTTTCTCTTTATGCTCCATTTTAGTCAAAATGCTAAAATATAAGTATTATCAATCTTATTGCCAATATTGTTAGTATTTTGTTGGCTTTTTATTCCTCAAATTTCATTAAATGGCCTATTAAATCTATCTATCTATCTATCTATCTATATATATATATATATATATATATATATATACACAGGGTGTATAAAAATACATTTACAAATTGTGGTGACAGGTTCCTTACATCAGAACAAGGACAAATGGCTATGTAAACATATGTCTGCAAATCCTTCATTTTGATTTATTAAGTCTAAAGAAAGTTTATGGTAGATGGCGCTGTGTTGCCATGTAGACTAGGTTACATTTGTTATTCATGTACATTTGTGGCTAGTCTGTTTTCAACATTTAATGTGTGTAATACTGAGTTAACTGAGAAGTGTTCTGTTTTACAATGGCAGGATCTTCATACTATGAGCAAGCAGATATGATTTTTACAGACAGCCGCATGAATGGTAACGGATATGAGGCTCTACAGCTGTATCAGATTATGTCTCCAGACTGAAGACAACCAATATGGACATTTATCCTTGTTTTGGTGTGAGGAACCCACCCCAAGTTTGTAAAAGTATTTTTGATATACCCTATATATATATATATATATATATATATATATATATATATATATATATATATATACACCTGCAGCATGTGTATTTTTATGTTCTCCACAATCATGGAGAATATTTGGTAGCTTGATTAGTATATGGCACAGGAAGCAGGGGTTTATATTTTATTTGTTGTCTACTTCTTTTTTTAACACACAACCACCAAAGCATGACATTTTTATACATCTTCTTCTTGAAGTGGAGCATTGGTTAACAGACAAGACTCCCTGGCCATTGCTAGCAAATTTGATTCTCACCAGGTGCCTCACTATTGTATAAGAAAAACACCTTCATTTGTGTGCATGAGAGGGAAAACTGTATATAAATAAATGTGTGTCCAAGTATATATGACGTATACACAGATTTGTATATAAACTATTCCGAATTATTCACATATGTATATGAAGAAAGACATGTGAAGAAAATTGCGTGTCTACATATGTTTGTATATACATATACATTTTATGTATAAAGTTTTTAAGTTGATAAAGGATCAAACATACTGTATGTGTGTATGAGTTTTCTTTTCCAGTGTGCAGT